GAAACCCATTTATTTTGAGACGTAGCAGGGTGAATTTCTCCTCATTTCAAGTGTGAGGGTGTATGAAATATTTTTAAAAAATGTTTTTACATTAGGAAAATAAAAAATCTCAACCTCAAATATAATAAATTGCATTTTAATATACTTATTTCTATGCCAGTGTTTGATGACAGGTATTTAGAAGTTAGATGTCTACCTAATATACAATACTCTTAGATGATTTGAGTAAAAGTTGAAATATTTTCTTAACAGAGTACTCATTAATGGAATTTTAGTTTTTTTCTTTTCTTTTTGAGACAGGGTCTTGCTCTGTTACCCAGGTTAAAGTGCAGTGGTGTCTTCATAGTTCAATGTAACCTCAAACTCCTGGGCTCAAGCTATCCTTCTACCTCAGCCTCCCTAGTAGCTGGAACTATAAGCACACACCACCATGCCCAGCTAATTTTTTTCCATTTTCTTGTAGAGATGGGAGTTTCCCTCTTGCTTAGGCTGGTCTTAAACTCCTGGCCTCAAGCAATCCTCCTGCCTTGGCCTTCCAAAGTACTGGGATTACAGGCCTGAGCCACTGCGCCTGGACTACAGTTGTATTAATATTTTTCAACGGTTTAAGAATTTTATGGAAAATCAATTACTTCATTTACTTGGGTATAAAAGTAGATACAAAGGATTTTAAAATGATTTTACTTCAAATATATCAGAACCTATGGAATATGGTTTTCTCTTATTCCCTTTCACATGGAAATGAGAAGCAGAGAGGTGAAGAAAGCAAAGGAGAGGGTGCTACACCCCACCAAGAGGCCCAGTACCTCCGGAGCGCCAGGTCAGCCTGGGCCTCATCGCTGATGAGTTCGGCTTCGCTCTGGGCAATCCTCAGGGCCAGCTCCCGGTCCCTGCGCTCCTGTTCCAGCACTGCCTGCTGCTGGGATTCCTCCTCCCGCTGTCTGGCCAGCTGGGCCTCCACTTCAGCCTGCCAATGTCAGAAAAGTCATCTCACCAAGAGTTCTTCACTGGCCTACTCAATGACTCTCGTTACTACTTAAAATACGGAGAAAGCATAACTGTTCAATACCAGTTCTTTACTAAGGAATAGATATTGTTTAACCACAAATCTCTTCAGTCTCTGATTTTTTCTATATTATGATTAATGCTTCAAACATAGCCTCATCTTTCCTCATTCCCAAATCTAAGAGGAGGCAGGAGAACCATAGTAGGTTTCACGATTCTTTCATGAATCTTCACGATTCTATGACTGTGATATCAGTATTCCAAACATCACAGAGTATCCTAGGACCAATGCTTTTAAATTCCTAATATCTTCTTTCTCGTTGGTTATGCTTAGGATGGATTACGAAAGCCGTGACAAACAGAAACTCAAATACATGATCAATGATTCTCAGCCACGAGACTTTTTGAAAACTGGGGGTGGAGAGAATATCTTAATCCTTATTTATTAATACCAGTATCTACAAAGTTATGTGATAATTTTTTAAAACATAATATTTTAAAAGTGAATGTTCATTTGACTTTCCCCCAGGTACAATAATGCTAATATTAATATTTATTGAACTAGGCACTATTCTAAATGCTCTAACGTGTGTTAATTCAGCTAATGCTCACGGCTATTATTTACCCCACTCTACAGAGAGAAAACTGTGGCCCACAGTTACGCATCATGATGTGTGCAATGTCACAATTTCTGTCAGTGACGGAGCCTGGGTTTGAACCCACTTCCCTAGCTCCAAAGTCCCTTCCCATAACCACTTGAGAAACTGCCTTTTGTCTCTGGGATAAATTAGTGACAGCTTATCTAGCAAATAAACACCTTGTTTGCACTTCTTTGATAACTTTGTAGATTCTATTTTGATAAAAATTCAGTCCAGTAAGTATATACCTGAATGCGTTTTTCGTCATCTTCCCTTTTCTTTCTCTCTTCTTCTTCTTGTTTTCTCTTTGCTTCCATCTCAAGTTTCCTAACAAAAAATAGAAAAGTCTTCAAAAACTTAATAAAAATAAAGAATCCTTCAGAAGGCAATTTAACTATTAATAGACAACAGACTGGGAACTCAAATTAACCTCCTAGAGACATATGTCATCAACTTACTCTGAATAAAACAAAACCTACTCTGACAGTAATTCTTCTTATATAAAACAAATACAGTTATATTCTATAACCTTTAACATCTCTAGATTAACCTGGTTACAAAGCCTGGCTGTAAGGCCCTAATTACATGTGCTTCCCTCTACTCCCTCTCCAACCAAACAACTCATGTTCCTTCTCTCTACCCTACTATGGCAATCTCCCAAAATGTCATCAGTTTTAAAACTGCAGAAAAGTAGAAGTGCCTTT